CAATTTTTTTTTAGTTTTTTTTTTATAAATGTCAATAAATTGTATACGTCTTGTCAAACAGCAAAACACATTGGTACAATATCAGTAAAAAATAGTAAAAATACCTGTGCAAGATTTATTTTAATGAACGTTTTAAGTTCAAATGTTAAACAAACTTATCCAATTGAAAATTTAAGAATTATTTTGTAGTTAAACATTTATAAAATGTTCAATTTCTATGGCTAAATATTGAGAAATTAAAACAAGATCCCACATAAGTAGTTCATTTTGTAACCAAAAATCTAAAAAAAAAATATCTAAATACAATTTTTTTATAGTTATTTTAAGTTCAAATTTGGACTAAACAAATTAACATAGTTAAACTAAGAATAACAAATCTAGTTATTTTGCTGTGATTTAAAAATATTATTAGTGGATACTTGAAACTTTTAAAGAAGGTAATATACTTCATATTATACACATTGACATTTTCAAATGCATTTTTTTTTTTTGCCAAACCTTCTATAGTACTAACGGCTAATAGTAAAATAAATTACTTTAATCACAATAATATCATTAAATTTTCATACTGGCTACTTAGTAATATAAAATATTATACAGGCTGATCGTCTTTGTTCAGAATCGTTTTTCGTGTACAATGGTTTTATATCATTAAATTCAAATTTAACATATCAGTAACATATTAGTGACTCTCTAGACAGCTAATGTACAGCCCAGTGTTACATAGTTACCAGCATTTTTAACAATGAACTTAACATGCGGCCATCAATGACTACAATGATTTGAGCTCGCGATGCGAAAAGCTGAAAATGCAAGTATGAGAGCAGCAATCGTATTCAACCAAAAAAGACCCAGAGGAAAACGAAGAAACCAATGGATAGATAAGGCGAAGAAGGATCTGGAAACACTGGAAGTGACAAATTGGGAAGATAGAATCTAGAATCGGGAAGTTAGGGGGTGGCAAAAATTCTCAAAGAATTGAAATGCTAGATAAGAAAAATAATCCTGTAAATAATTTGGAGCAGAAAAATTGTTAAAACTAATTCTATCGCCTTCAAGTATTTTTTTTTTTAATTTCTGTTAAAACCATCAATCCTTTATTTCTGCTTAAAACATTTTGTGCATTTTGTTTCAATTATTGTATTAACTACACCAGGTGGGAAGTCATTTATAGAATTTTCCATTTATTTTAAATCGTTTAACGAGTATTCAAGATGTGAAAAATTAGAGTTTTTCGAGCTTTTTGATATTTTCAGCGATACATAATAAATTTAATTTTAAGTAAGCAAGATCACATTTAAAATTATTTTACAATTTGTAATGACTGCTTCATCTTCCAAGTTTTTAATTAGGTACCTACAATTCAGTGGTTCTCAACCGGTGTGCTGCTATATATATCTGATATTTGTGATTATGCTAGTCAAAAAATATTGAAAACAGTATTTTATTTCATTACATATACTTTTTAAAAATACAGCAACAAAATAGTATCTTGAGAACTAAATTATTTAAGCAAAGGAATATTTTATCATAAAGAGAAAATATTTTAAATTATTAGTGAGAAACTTGAGCTAGTCATTTCGTACACTAAAGTTCAATACGTGATAGAATTGAAGACAAGCTCACATGCATTCCCTGATCAATGGAAAGAAGCCTCTCCCGTTTTTTTTTTTTTTTGTGTTCGTTAGTTCTGAAAAGTCTGACTCGCATCAGTAAGTGGTTGAAAAGTGTAACAAAATGTTGATTGCTTCTTCTGCTATTACAAGATTTTCTATATCTTTGCATACATCCAAAATCTAATTAGTGGTAATTCATTATATTTCAGTCGTAGTGTTCTATCCTCCTGAATTTCTACCAGCTTTTCTTCTTTGAAAATACCAATTGTGAATTTACTGATTGTGCACGAATTGTGCAGATAAGACGATATAAATGAATATTCACTTAGCGATAACTAATGTCCTCAGAGAGGTTGCCGAAGTTGTTGTTGTCGAGTGCGTGAGTGTGCCGCGAAAACTTATTATGTTTTATGCCGTGAACAAAAAAAGGTTGAGAATCACTGAGTCCTACATGTTGAACCCTTCAAAATCATCTGCATAAAATAGGGCTGACTTTTACCAAGTAGGTACCCCTACCTGAAAATTATAGGTGGTTTTGGTAAAGGTCTATTTAATATTTGGCAACATTTTGTTATACAGCTGTACTGCACATACGGACCTTTTAAGAAAACTTTTATTTTCATATTAATTAAATAATTAATTTTTATGAAAAGTGTGGATAACATGGTAGCTCGAGGAACACAATAAGTAATATAAATCATTATAGAACCTATACCCAGTACCTAAGAACAAGTTACACTCGAAACTTACTATGCAGCAGAATGAAGTTCCCCGTTTAATTTTACTTTGCATTTTAGAAAAATAAAACACTGAATGTATTACGAGCGCTTAAATATATATTATCTATGTACTTTAAGGTGGGCTTAGTTGGTAAATAAAATGTCGAAACTTACAACCATTAATAAATAATTTTACTAAAACATAAATTGAATCCATCTTATAGTCCGATATTCATATGACGAATATTGAGTGTACAGTACAATGTGATAATGATAAAATAATAAACTACAGTCAGAAGGTTTACTTTGGCAAAAAAGAAGTGTATTACAATACACTAGCTATTCCTCGATTCCATATCGTTATCTGCTCCATTTAAAAGCTGTTAAGTAAAATATCATTACTATTTCATAGCTCTAATCAAACATTGTTAGTATTTAAATTACACCTTTTTTTTGTGATCCACAATACCTACATGTTCGGTGAGATGTATTGAGTATAAGCACTAATGGTCAACAAAAAACTTGAAGTTTCTGTGCTAAATTATGTAAAAGGTTTACATTGTAACACGCAATACATAACTGGATACTATATAAACTCTCAGGACTCAGACAGAAGAAACCAGAATATGTACAAACTGTCCGTGTATATTTATTTAGATTCTGAAACGTTGAATGGATTATTATTTTGGCTATATAATTCTATTGTTGTGTGCTATTTATATGTGTTATTTTATCCGACAAATATATCATTAAAGATAATCATCTTTGCATAACACAAGACTACAAGAGCATTATTATATTTTATTACGTACCCATGTATACAATATATGTATTATTTCGGTACAAATTTTGACAGCAGTATATCATGTCAAATAAAGAGTTTCACGCCCTTTACTAGGAAATTGCAGAAGTTTGACTGATCTGTCTGGAAATATAAATATTTTATAATACACGTTAAACATAAAATATAGCCACAAAATTGTCTGAAAAAGATATTTAACAACCAAATTAATTTCTCCCCTAAAATAATATGTTGATCGTATTTCACTAAAATGTATACTTAATTATTTTAGTATTATTTTTTTTTTTATCAATGGCTTTACTAATCAGAATAAGTACACTTTGTTGAAATTATATACTCATAATTTTTGATATAAACAAATCTATTCATATTTCATACGATATTGCTTTTGAAGATGTCGATGATTAATCAATAATCATTATAATAATTAATATTGCACTTTCCCTAATAATTGTGCTTATATGGTATGAGTGTTTGGCGTTTAAATATAAACCAATATAAATTGAAAATATATAAAATATTTATTATATTACATTTTGTAAACAATATTAAAATAAATAATAAAATAGCAATTTCGGATAATATTGTAGTTAGCTAAAATATATTAATGCATTAATTATTCTATATATATAATATTTGAATTTGTTTATTTAACTCTTCAATAATATAAATTATCAAGAACTACCAGATTATATTTAATAGCCTATCTAGTAATGTACACTTATATATATATATAGTATATATAAATGGAATACTTCATGTATACTAATGAACTACCCATGCTTAATATTAAACCGTTAATCACCTTCAATCTGTCTAATAATGGTTGGTAGGGTATAAGTTGATATCCGTTCATGCACATTAACTTTGACAATTTATTGTCATATTCACAAAAGATGGATTTCTATCAATCTTCTTAAAATGAAATAGGTGCTCAGCTCTCGGCAGTATCTGATTTAGCACTCAAGTATTTTTGTTAGGTCATTAAATAATTTGTTATAAGTCACTCGGCTAATAACTAATTACCTACTGGCATTTGAAGTATAGATACAACACAAATAGGCTTACTTTTTTTATTTGAGATAATACGATTAATTATTACTTTACAAAAAAAGGCCACCTATATTTTCATATTATATTTCGTTATCCTAATAACGTAATCTATTGATATTTTTATAAGGAAATGGATCATCTACAGTGATTTATGTTCCATTAAAAAATGCATTTTGAATATTACCTAATAGTCAATTTAAATCGTTAATAATTCGATTAAAAAACAGTATATATGTTACCGGCAATATGTGTAATTCAATCATTACATATAACATATTATTATGCTTAGGTATTTTATAAAATTTAATAAAATTACTGAAATGACCAGGCGAATTATATAATACACATATTTCCTAGTTGTTATATATAATGCCCAATCATATTTAGGCAATAATATTTAGAAATATCCACAAATATTAATGAATATAACCGATTAGTACGGTTAACAACGTATACGTGTAAAGTGTTCAGTGTACAATTACAGTTAACTATTCAATTAATATAATTATTTATTAATGTATAATAAAATATTAATAATAAAATATTTATATTTATTATATAATAATACAATATTTCATAATAGAACTGTTTTATGCAGAATTAAATGTACTAAAGGCAAATATAGCTAATCACTTTATTATCCGATGTACGATACGAGTTGGCAGAGAAAGTTTTAATGCTGAGAAGTCCGAAAACGAAAAAAATCCTCGTGATTTTTGGTCGCAAAAAAGGTCAGTAAATATCTAAGTGTTAATTAATTTTAGATTCTAAGTGGAGTGATATGTATAAAATACAACTTTAAAAATATAATGCAAGACTCCTCATAAGTATTTACTACTGAAACTTTTCGATTTCCATCTTTGGCCTGAACTTAAAATAGTGCATGACAAGCCCAGGCATAGCCAGAGCCAGGGTAGTGTGAAACGTGCCAACCAAGACATAGAAAATATGCTGACTACATGGATGCAAGAACAAAATACTTCACAATGGAGTCAAGGTCTCTGTTTCATTCAGATAATGAAGAATAGAGCTTATCATTCAGGTATCAAAACTACTCCCTATGAAGCATTACGAGTATTTGGATGTAAAATTAAAATCGGATTAAATACGTCAAATTTACCCGATGAAGTCGTAGAAAATATTAAAACAGAAGAAGATTTAAACACAAAAATTACAAAAATTAAAATTAAGAGCGAAAATACATAATATTATCATAATTTAAAATGTTATAATGTTAATATAGTATACTGTCATGAAATTAATCTCAACTATTTTAATACTTTGCCTAAAGTTATTTAGGTACTCTATAAAATGTCTAGGAAATATATATACATATATTGCCTAGGCATTTTACACTAAAATAATTTTTTAAATAATTTGCCTGAAATCAACCGGTATTTTATAAAATACATGGGCATTGTATGTAATGACTGAACTACACATATTACCGGTAACATATATTATATACATTCAAAACTACAGTACCGTAGACGGGATTTTTTTCGGGGGGGGGGGGAGGAATACAATATTTTATTGCTAGGGCTAAGAAACTACCAGGTATAGTAAGTTTGATATTCCAGGAAGGTCTTAAGCCCTAAAGCCCCCCCTAGCTACAGCACTGCGCAAAACTATCACCGAAAGCAATAAGACGCAATATTACGCTAGAAATCGCCCCATGTTCGTTAACAATAGGCTATTAATATTGAGGTCCATAAAAATCACGAACACTATAAAATTGTCCGGCCATAAAAGGAAAATATACAATTATTATTAGGTACTGAATTGTATTATATTCCTATCATTATTTAATGAATAAGAATGAATTTAAATTTAAATAATCATGTTAACTCGTTACCATAGATGATTGTTACTATTTTATGTATACGGTCCGCAAGTATACTATCGCTGTATAGTGATACACAGCTCGTGATAGACGACTGTCTGATAATCATCGGCTCTTGAAAGGTGCCTTCGCTTCGGTAACTATTTACTGGTAATAATATGATGGTGCCTTTAGACTTCAGTGTCCTATGCGGCTTGGAGCATTCACAGCTGCGTCGTGTGTCTTGCTAATCAAATCGCATTGTGTTTGGACATTATTTTTTTGGTATCATAACCAATAACCAGGGTGCTACTGAGTATACCTGCGAGAATTGACTACAGTTCAACTGTTAAAACCATATTGGTACCCAGTTATAACCGTAAAGTGATCACGTCCTCGCGGCTCGCACGACACTACACACGACGTAACTGTGAATCCTTCATTCTTCATCCTGTTCCTTATTTTGTGTGCTCGAAATGTTAGTACTATCCGCTCATAGGGATAAACGTTTAAAACTAGATGAAACATTCAGTATGATAAAACGTACTAGTAGGGAGAGCTTTTTTAGAGGATTTGTTTTCTTCGGCTCTGGCTTTGGAGTGAGGTAATTTCTGTCACTCGTGTGATAAACGCAAACTATCTCTCTTAATTCACCCAAGACGACCCCATGCTACGAAATAGATGATTGATTTATCTATTCTACGACTACGGACCACGCCTCCCAATCCTAGGATTAAAATAATGTTCAATCCATAAAGTAGGCGTTTAGTGTTATCTGTTTAGCGAGAAAATACGCAGTCGGCTGACGAAAATCGGTTCTTTTGAGCATCCTCTCGTGATACCCTCCGAAAGGAGGACGAGTGGAAGCGGACTCGTTAGCAGGGTGTATATGTATACATCAAATCAAATGGTAAAAGAAAATTCACCGTCTACCAACACAGAACTGTAATTTCCAAAAAAAAAAAAATTGGCATTGTGATTGGCTGAATTTTGTAGCTGGTAAGCACTAAACGGTATAATACCACAATGTTGCCATGGTATACTATTCCATATATCAGAGAGTAGAATCCGATCCTAATCAAGACAATGACGTATCACCTAGATTCCTATGTATAGTTAAATCCCCAGTGATAAAATAGATACGCATGAGTCAATTATTTCTCCTGTCAACTAAATCCCCTTGGGTCATCTAGATCCACATGGACTTTATGATCATACAATTTATATTTTGTTCTGAAGATTTATAATTCATCAAAATAGGTTCAATTAATAATAAAAATAGCTTTAACTATTTAAATATTAATTACATTATATATTATCAGTGGTCGAAATGGTGATGGGGTATGGTGGGGTAGCATCCCTCCATCTTTTATCATTTACATTTTCCATCCCTCCACCGGCTCCATTTATTTGTGCGGTTGCTTAAGCCATATACGTGAACTATATAAATTATGAAAGGTATCCACCCATTTATTTTGAGTCACTTCGACCACTGTATATTATTTATTCGTTATGTACAATTTAGTTCGTAGTTTATGCTAGTTAAATAAAATGTCATTGTATTTATCGATGAAGTAAAAAACATGATAGTGTTTTAATTTCATAGGTATGAGGTACCTATTCTTATACATCTAAATTAAATATATAATAGATAAGTTTCACGTTTGAAATTTAGTGTATTCTATGGCCTACTGGGGCCTACCAGGGCTGATTTTAAACTATTTAAGGTTTAATTGCATACCTACTTACAGCGTGTAAAATATATTTTTAATTTAAATTATGAAAAAATTTTTGTTTTATAATGGTATCAATTCATACAGTAATGTATCGTGTATAAATGCAATTATGTGAATGTAATATGAATACAAAATAATCTAGGGCTAAAAAGTGAAAAAAATTCGATCGTAAAAACATGTTTTTGTATTTCCAATAGTACTCAAGCCTTGTCAAACATGAAAAGTTGTGAAAAAAAAATGTTGGTACATATTTTTGAAATTTATATTTTATAAGATTTTATCTGTATATTTTAAAGTTTGTAAAAAATTTTCATTTTTGAATAAAACGATATAAAATTGGCCAATAGCCAATAGGGTTATAAAAAGTATGTTCGAGAGACTTGTTAAAAATGGAAATTAATAATTATAATAAATTTTTACAGACTATAGTGGACAGTGGACACTAGACAAACAAGATTTTGATGGACTCATAAAAAATTGACAATTCAATAACGATCCAAATTAATTGATTGAATTGTTTTGGGGTTTTAGACAAAATTTAAAGTAACAAGTCCGGATTTGTTATATTACTTCATTTAATATTTAGATCACGATAAAATATTATGTATTGTATGTTTCATTAGTTTAAGGCTTGTTATAATACTGTGCACTAAAAAAAACTTATTTTGCGTTAAAAACACAAAAATTTAAGTATTAAAAAAACATGCATGTTTTGATTATGATATTAACTTACAATGTCTTACAAGACGAAAAACACGATCCAGATTAACTTAATGGACTCACGTACTTTGGCTTATATAGACTCAAATTGATACGTTTTGCAGTTTTGCGGTGTTATTTTTGAAAAATTAAAGGAATATATTTGATTAGTGATTACCTACTAAGTCCCTTCTACATAAACATAAGCTAATAAAATTCATATAGCAATTTTATGATTTTTCACCAAACAAAACAAAATAGTTGATGTAAAAAAAATCGTTAATGTAGCGTTATAATAGATATTTACATAATACGGTACTTAATGTAGGAATACATTTAATTAAGATTACGTAGTATGTATATTAAATAATATACAATATTCATACTATATAACATGGACTATAATTATTAATTATATTATATAGGTGTATTGCGTATATTACCTGTACATTGCAGTAATTATAATGTGGTAATTGACTAATAGCTTTAAACTAATTTTTGGCCATCAGAATAATAAAAAATACTTATTTTTCTTAAAGCTATTATAACTAGATCATACATAAAATAAACATAAAAATTTAAAAAAATTTTGTATTTTTTTTTTTTTTGAAAATTTTTTTTCTGAAAACGTTTATTTTCTTTGATCAGACTTGAACAAATAGGTAATAGATCTATAGAAAATAATACGAAGTAGTTTAATAATGGAAAGAAAGAAATTGAAATTTCCAGATAAAAGAACACGAATTAAAAAATTAACCCTCCCAATTTACCAACCTTCAGAACATTTTATTTTTTGTTCATTTGTGACTTTTTTTGTATTTATGATGTTGAAATTAGTGTTGTTTTTAAAATAAATATTCTGAATTATAACAAAGTATAACTAATAACTACAATCGTTATTTTTTTTACAAATACCAACATTAAAATTTGATTTTCTAAGGCTTATAAAAAAAACTTTTGTGTTGAAAATTATTTAAACACTTTTTTATTATTCTCTTAAGGAAAACTTAAATTAAATTTTCAAAACGGAGGTATTAATTAAAAACTGTACCGCGTGCATTTTTAACTTCAAAATAGTTTGCAAATGTTTGTGATTATAGCAAATGTTATCAACATTTTAAATCCAAACGCTTGTAAAATAATTGTCGTTTATGTACCTATATACATGTTTACATATGTATTTTTGGTATTTTTTTATGTCTACATAATGTACACAATTTATGAGGAATCTTGTATTGAATTTTCAATGTTTTTTACTCTCAAACAAAAATTATATCATAAATAAATAGAAATAAAAGTAGACAAGTATAGGTAACGCTCTGGTTGTATATATGGGAGTCAAATGTTTGAGTAGATCACTGCAATGGATATTATGTTAAATTTGAACTCAATGATAAATCATTGCAAATGAAAAATAATTTGAAGTGAAAACGATCTACCAGCTTGTATTACCTAGGTACCTACTATATAAATAGGTGAATTTTATATAACAATTTAGTCATTTATTTAACTATTATATTAACATACAATATAGATGTTGTGTTGTATAAATAATAGGTTTTAAATTAATCTAAATATTTTACGTCATTGCATATCGTAAAATATAATTTTTTTATCTCTTTCTCTTGCTGCATAGTTTATCAGGTCGAAACCTTCCCACGTCTGTTTTCACACAGAACTGTTTGATTTTGTTTGATCGTACTTACATTTTTTGGACATGAAGAGCGATATACATGACACCTTCACCTCCCCCCCCTCTCCCCTACTATCCATCACGTAAGAATACCCCTGAACTTATTTGCCACTCCGGAACTGCTTTATTTAGCTCTGAAAGAACTACCCAAAACGAATAACGGGCCGAGGAATGAGATTTAGTTATCTTCTAGTGGCAAACAATCTTTCAATCTTCATTTACAAAATCAGCCACCGAGCATGAATGAATTCTAAAAATCAGAATAAATCAGTACATTCAACATTGCTGGAAATCTGGAATAACTCCAGCACATAGGCGACAGAGTTATCGAGACACAGCGTTACGAATTTAAGAAATTATTGAAGATATTATGGAAGTCCTGACACCTTCAACTATATGCCGGGAATCGCTCATAATTCTATATTATAATATAGATGTAGGAAGTGGCTGGTGATTAGTGCTTAACATTTTGGGTGCTAATAATTATTTTCAGTATTATAACGGTAAGGTATTTTACGTTCGACACTAACTTTCCAGTTTCCATCTTATCATGATCCAAGGTTTCACGTATTCACAATCCGGAATATTGCGGTCTGAAATGTTATATCCCATCACATTATGCTCCATGCAGGATATTTTATTACGTCACTCGTTAATACGGTCCGAGGTTACAGACATTATATATTTAAAACCTATACATTACAAGATTGTGGATAATAAAAAAAATACACGTACAAATTTCAGTCCTCGGAAATAATATTTTTGAGATACAACTGCTATAACTATAAAAAAAGGTTAGGTATAAAATCGTTATTTTTCGTAATATTCCATCAAAAACCAAACTTGTCTATAAATAAACAATTTAATTTTATATTTTTTAGACTTTTGGTGGGTTTCAAAAGAGTTTCATACATGAGGAACTTAGTTTTACATTTTCAAGTTTAATCTATAAAAATTGGTCGTTTTATACAATTTTAACTACAAAATAATTTGCAGATTAACGATATTTTATGAAAATTTGAAATTTAAAGGCTTAAAAAAACTAGTTCCCATGTAGGTATCCTGTCTATATTAAGAAAAGGGAATGTTTATGTGAATGTGTATACAAACAACCAATACCCAAGCAAGGATGACCTTAAAAAAATTCATGTGTGGGGTGTAGTCTTGAAATCTACCGAAAAAATGTACAACGTAGTGAATACCAATTGGTACTGCCACTGAGAGTCTAACATTGTTATGTTATTCGCCGTCATTACACACTATCGGAACCAGTATGTCGATTTGCATAGTACATATTATATTAATAAATATTATTATTATATAATGCACACCGGTGTCAGGTTGTTTTATTATTGTAAAATGTCCATTTAACGGTTATTCGCCAACGAGACTTTAGGTATGCCTACACCCACGTGGAGTCATTTTTATAAACCGCCATGTTTAGAATTTTAGTTATGTCACCTATGACCTTACGAACGACTGTACTGGTCCACGGACGTCAGACACGTGACGGCTGGCTGGTGAAACGGGAACCACGGGAGAATGGGTTATAGTTTTGGATTTAGTCACATGTTTGGGAATTTATGAAGTGTCTCAAAGGATTTGACGTGTAAAAGTTATTAGGGAAGCGGATCAGACTTCCACCTGATCCACCCGGATCTCCCCCGTCGGTTACCGGTAGAATCACTCCGCTCAAAATCTAATATATCTAATTTAAACAAAAATATGGATGGACCTAATTAATGATTAATCAGAAAATGTACACAGACATAAAATGTCAAAATTATACATAACAAAATTGTAAATTATCACAGTCAATTAATTTTTAATTTTTTAATTTAATCTTACAACAACTGAACACTTACAAGTTACAAATGTACAAATAATATTTACAATTATGTATAGTCGGTATATTACATATATTATATTGAATTATATCCTATGCTCTATTCACGTCAAATTGTGGACACTGAATTGTGGGGACATAGCTTAAACAACATTTTACTAATGGTGGTCGATGGTTGTATGGAGGTGACAGATGGTCCATCTGGGTTGTCTGATCGCTGACTATAAAAAATAGTCACTACACAATACGGTTCTTAATGTAAATAGAGTAAGTAGGTATACTACAATATGTTAACTTATTTTTTTTTAAATTAAAGTACGAACAAGTAAAAATAAATAATATAATAGCTTTTTTTGTGGTTTGCATTAATTATTAATATGTACGTTAAAGTTTTTATCATAATAATTAAAGATGTACAACCTATATTAAAATATTTAAAAAAAATGTATTCAATGTACATAATAGGTTACTGGCCAAATCTGATTTTAAGATAAATTAGTGTATTCAAAATGCATTAGGATCAATTAGTTTAAACTAGAATAATCTAGTTTTTCCTAATATTAAATCTATGCTTCATCACAAACTTATATGGCTTAGAATAATAAATAAAAATGACAGATAAATAAAGCTGTAAGCGGACGTCACACCCGCATGTGTGGTCTCCATGTTACACACCTACGAATTACCAAATTTTTGTTTACTAGTTTCAATAGTATATGCTGTTAGTTATGATATTAGAGTGAATTGACCTAGAATCAAACTTTTGAGTAGGAACATTATCTGTATACTCTCGTTGGTTTTTTAAGATATTTAAATGTTTAAGTGAATTAAGAGCATTTTCAAATGTTGATACTTTACATACTCTTAGCTCACTTAAAATGTAATGGTTTATTATTTGTTAAAATAATACATATACAACTTTATTCATAGAATATTATTAGCATAAGCCATATTAGTTTGTTCTTAAGCGTAAACTTAATTATTAGGAAAAACTAATTTATCCTGACTTCTGGTTTGGCCGGTAACATTATTTAATATACAATACACAGTACAGTATGTCAATTGTTAAGTCAGTAACACTAATTAATTATGAGTTATTTATAACTTGGTTCAGTTTTTTTAATGTGATATATAACAATTTCCTCATCCATTTTACCATGATTTAAGCACTTTTCGCGGAATTAGAATAATAGTAAAGGTACTGTACTCAGCATATCATCTAGTTTTGAATATTGTGTATATCTAGTATACAAGAACCTGATTAGTTGTTATTTTAGTTTATATGGACTTGATTTCAGTTTTATCAGTATACCAACTAGCTATCACACTAAGGATAGCAAAATAACTACAATTGTGTAAAACGAGCTTTAAAAATAAACATTTGAAAAAAAAAATGTTTTTCAATATTTGATAATAACCAATTTGTTTAGTTGATTATTAATTATATCGAGAAAATAAAAAAAATTAGTTGAATTTTTAATAAATGGGTGCATTCATAGTTTAAAAATATGATTGTAACATTTCATGTTTCATTTTTTAATAGATAGGTAATGCAAATCTAATAAAGAACATACTACTTGTTGATATTTGATGTTATATTTTTTTGTTTTTATAATTATTCAAGTTATCCATTTTGAATTGCTAGGCACAATGAAATTTGATAGTCGCAGGATATGAAATTATGTGGTTAGAAATATATCATACTTTTTTAATACATTATGGTCTTGCGAAGCTCTTGTTAAGTGCAGGTTATACAACATTAATAGAATCTCACAAAACAAAAATCCATTAATGTCATACCTGGTGATTGAGCTGACCAATTTATTGATCCTCATCTACTAATTAATTCTTTGTGAAAAATAATTGTTTAACCCAACCTTTAACTGTTGAAAGATAATGCGCCTAGTCTTCTTTTTGAATGAAGAATGGTAACTTGTGATTAATAATTATAACTAACCTAATTTTAACATTACTTAAATGATCTTGAATTATAGACCATATCTGAAATATCAATTTATTTATCAATTTTATTATTAAATATCAACAAGACGTGGGCCCATTATTTAATTTACATTAGTTAACTATTAAACAAATGTAAAATAATACAATTTATTGTATTTTTAAAAATTATAAATTACCCACTCTTATTTATTCAAAAAAATTTTTTTATCTATATTATTAATAAGCGGGTAATTTTATAAAATGATTATTTACAAATGTTTAAAAACTAAAAAACATCCTATTACTTTTAACATTTTATATCATGGTAAAAGGGAAGAATACAATATTACATTAAAACAGACTGCACTACATCAGGAATTTGGTTTGCTGACTTTCTAATTAACTAACACCAGTACATCATAGATTTAAAGAAATGCACTTGATATGAAATGTAATAAATGAGTAATCTTTTAATAAAACACATTTTAAAAGAAACATTATGCTACTATTATAGCTATAATTATTAATTAATATTTTTTACGGTAGCTGTAATTCCTAGATTTGGATTTATAGTTTTCATTGCTTCTATAATCTTTGTAATCTTTATAAACTTTGTAGTCTTTGAAATCCTTGTAGTCTTTGTAGTCTCTGTAAGTAGGTACTAATCTGAAAAATAATTAAAGATAATGCATAAGAAAAACCAAACCCCATAACTATTTTCAGAACAATAAAATATGTTTATGGTATATCAAACATACAATAAATAATGTTTAAAGTAGTTTGTAACTATTGAAAAATGAAAATAGATAGATATACAGCATTTTTAAATTTTTCTTTATTCTATAATCAGGTTAAGAGTAATCAGAAATTAATCAGCATTAGCAACTACAAACAGCAAAAGACGAAGTTGACGGCCCAACAACTAAGACACTAACAATCACCAAAATTGAATGACCGTGTTCAAAAATTCAATCTGTGTGTACAAACACATAGATAATATATATTATCTGGGGCACAAACGTAATTATTGAATTATTCTTAACCTGAATAAAGTAAAGAGCCTCATTATCTCAATTAGCTTTTATGTTATGTAATACATTTATTTGTATATAAAATATGTTATGTGGGAAGAGATAAAATTGTTCATGACTCACAACTATTCAATGTAAAAAAAATATTCATAATAATCAACAATATTATAAGATTATTTGTTCAACACTGTACTTAAAATATATAAATGTTTTTGGTAATTTAATGTTGCATAATTACTAATTAGGAAAAAAAATGTTTTTAATACTTTTTTTTCTTAGATTTCTTAACATGTCTTGGACTTTTACTTCTAAACTTCATTTCCAAAGGTGTTCTACTTCTACTCCTTTTTTTGATTGGTTTTCTATATAACAAATAAATATAATTAACACAACATATAAATGTGAGAACTTGGGAGTAAATGCTTACTTATTTGGGGAGGTTGAACTCTTATTTTCTGGGACAGCAGCAGTTATCCCATTACTAGGAGTAGGCATAACTAATTCAGTTTGTACTACTGAATGAACAATAGCTGCTTTAGCTTTTTCCTTAGCATAATCATATTCTTTCTTTGATTCTTCCACTCGCCTTTCTAATTCTTCTGTGATAACCTGAAAAATTACATAAAACAAATATGGTTATACTGAACACACAAACTATGATTATCTACTCACTTTTGGTCTAAGATAAAGTTTCAGTATTTTACGACAGATGTCCTGGATGTCTGTTTCATTTGAATTAAATAAAGAGTACCATGCTGGACTTTTTGGCAAAGGTATTTGCAATTTCCTGGCCGACAGATATATACAGGCACAAGCAATAGTTTCTGGATCAAATTGAACAAATACATCGGTTTGTAACGAATCATTCATATAGTTCCAGGACATCTGCATTATTGACTGATGTTTCTCAAATCCAAGTGCCTGTAGGTACATTACAATGAGTTTATGCGGGTGTTTAACATGCACGCAAAAGCCAAGCTCCTTGAGCACGCGTCGTTCCGCTTTTATTACCTGCGTCTTTTTCTGTACATAATTTTGATCAAGTATCAACGGCGTAATCAATCTGCAACAGTGGCGGGGTATTTTTGGACTAGTGATCACTTGGCAATACCACGGTAAAATTATGAAAAATAGATAGTATGATCAACCACAACTGACTACATTTATTATTTACTCTTAAGTACTAATTGTTATGAGAAAATGCATAACTATTTTAAATTACAATAAATATTTAAATAAAATGCTTCATTTTCATTTTTAATAATTTATATATTAATCAATAAATAATTTTCTTAAAAATAGTTAGCAGCTATTTATAGTTTAATCTTTTTGTATAAATTCTTAAATCATAAATTGTAATGTAGTAAAATAGCCCATTTTAAAATTAAAGTTATATTAACTGTTTTTTTTTTTTTTTATATAACATACATTATTATATTATTTAATTACATTAATTGCCGTTTATTTGACTTGCTGTCAATTGACTTATTTGTATATTAGCCTCAAATAGACTAGAAAAGATTTACGAAGATACAGAAAATGTATTACCTACATACTCATAAAACCAAAAGCATTATAATCCATTATTAGATAAACTATTTGTATGCTATTAGTAATAAATATAAAAAGTCAAATAGTTCACTAAAAAAAATATGGATCGATTCAATTATAATGTCTATTACTATTACATCTAGATCTAATAATGTATATACTATGTACTAAACACAATATGGCATTCATTGAAAAATAACTAACTTTCTGGTAGTATGAATAATAATTGTTTAATATTTAAGTCAAGTGAATCTTAAAATGTAAATGCCGTAATGCAAAATACATTAAGCATATTAATTATCAGACTCTCAGGTAATTTAACAATTTTTATATTTGTCCTGATATTAAGTGCTTTAAATCCTTGACTTGAATCCACGAGCATTTTAAAGTTCACTAATTTAAATACTTAATCATGGTTTGTTCATTTCATTAACTGTTTAAACAATTAACATTCACCTTAAAACAAAAATATGGAAAAAAAAATTCACTTCAACTTCAGATTTTATCTAAGTTTTTTAATGTCTACAAATAGAGGTTAGGTACCTTATGAGATGTAGAATAACCTTCAAACGGTTCATGACATATTCAAACATGATTGGCTATCTTGAATCCCATTGTGGATACAACAGTTACCATTTGTCTGTGAAATTCTTTGTTTGCTTAATACAACACTTGTATGATTAAGTATAATCACTAAATAGAGCACATAATATGTTATGCACATTGGATTTATACTATACCTGTCTTTTTGATAAATATATAAAAATATACATATACATATATATATATATACTTATATATATTTTTTGACAAACCCTAACAATTTTTTTTGGAGGGAACCTCTTAGCTTATTTTTGGTTAAATCATGTTACAATATAATTTTTAAAGGGTCCAACAGTGTTCTTGACGTGACGACCATCAATTTCAATATGAATCCACCACGTTCGCTTTCCTCTCCACAATTCAAACCAAGGGCAACTCACCCGGCGGTTAGCTGTGGAAAGTATCTGCGAAAACGCAAGTTATAAAATAAATTTGTGCGTTACATTTGTGCTTGGATTAACATTAACTATCATTGACTTTGTTGCATTAAATAATTTACAAATAAATATAAAATAAATACAAAATAATTGCAACAAAAACAATGGATTTTTGTGCACCCTACAGTTATCGCATTAAGTCAACATATTGTAACTTTAATTTAATTATTTATACCAGTACAAGGTCATTCACCAAACTCCTACTTTGAATTTAATTTAAATTAATTCAAGTACTGAATTATGGGATTTTTCTACCACACATTGCTGTACATAAACAGTTAACTTTTTTTTACGGATCTAAATAAAAATTAATTTTAAATGAGTAGTTTCTGATTTATTAAGCTTTATGTATTAAGAACAAATATCCATGATAATAGGTTTAGAAGATATAGGAGACATGATAATTTTAAAATTATAGTTAAGCAGTAGTGACTAATATTTACATTTTATGCTTTGTAAAAGCTGTAGAAGTAAGAAGTAAAATAAATATTACTCCAATTTCGTATTTTATAAAAAACCATTATTCAGGACTATAATCCTTAACAGTTAACAGATGACTGATAACATATAACTCAGAAACTACTCATACTATTCTACTGTAATTCATATTTTGATATAAATGCATAACATTTAAAAAAGATTTTTAACAAGTTACATAGTTACAAATAATAAAATATCATTTATAAGTTCTAAATATTTGAATATGATAAATGTTACTGTAATATAGTCTTTAAGTATATTTAAAAATATAAACAAATCAGAATTTGAATGTATATATCATTAAATTATAAAATTAGGGTTATTAGAATGAATAACCTGTACCTATATAGTATATATATACAAATAATAATAGTTAGTTATAAATTAATAACAGAACAAAACAAATATTAACATTTAATAGAAAAATAAGTAATAAATTAATCTTTTTTTATACATATAGTGATAAATATCTATAGTTTTTGAATTTCATAAAAATCAGATTGTTCTAGACTTGTTTGTTTTTTTTATTTACTAGTATTCAGTAGTACTGTTCAGAAATTGAAAATGAATTATTTTAGAAAACATATTGTTCTTTTTTATAAAATGGTTTTTACTAATATAAGTTTCTATAAGTTATTCTGAAATTATTCATAGCTATAATAATATTGAAGAACTATGCGACTACTGTAAGATATCTAAAAGTAATTAAAATCTAAGTAACTAAAAGAATCTTAACATAAAATTGAAAAAGATAAATTAAATTAGATTATAAGATTAAAAATGTGTTTATGATTTAAGTGTTTGACTTCTTCAAGAGATTAGGACATTCATTCTATCAATCAATCTTCTATAAAATGAAAGTCCACACATGAACATTCTTGAATTCTGCAGGTTACTAGGAAATGGATAGTGAATGATTAAAATTAAGCTAAAATTTAATTTTAAAAAGCCATAAGTAGAGCTTTAACTGGAATTAACATTAAAATAAGCAAACAATACAATATACGTTACTAAATTAACTTTCCTATCTTATTGGTACGCATATTTAAACTGGGTTTAACCTAGTATATAATCAAGTTTCTACAATAAGTGAGCTATTAAGTTTGGCTTAAAATATATGTATACATTAGTAAGTCAATAGAAAAGTAATTTAAGAAAATTCATAAGACCGACATAATTATATCTGAATTAAAATCATTTTGTTTAATAATGGGAACAATGCTTAAAAATAACTCACATTTTATTCATCTGGGTAAAATATAAATAATATAAATGTTTTTTAAATATCATAGTAAATTGTGTACACAGTCTCTTTTAGTCTATGTTGTAATGGGTAATAAACATTGAATATTTCTATATTATAGACTTCAGGACATTTTATCATACAATGTTGAAAGTTGCATCTAATTGATAATTTTAGTAAATGATCAAATTATATTGATAAGGTATTAATTTATTAGAGCTAATATTGTGAAAAAAATACTAAAAGCCTGAGCTTCTAGATCATAAAGTGTGTACTCCAGGGTTAAATAAAAACCTTTGAAATTATTAAAAGCTCAAGTCAAAATGTATAATTTAAATATGGAAACCATGAAGATAGAGAAATACATAGTCTTTGTGACGGAAACATAATCTAACTGATTAGTCAGTTGTGATTAAAAATATTTAAATATGATTTAAAAAAAAAAAAATATATTAATAATATCCAACAGAAAACCATCTAAACTTACTTTTGATTTAAAACTTGACGGATATGATGAAAAACATTAATAACATCACGAATACGTCGTGGTGATTCTTCAACTTTAGAGGCCAAACATGTGCATGCCATTGCAGTTATTTCCATTGGGTGGCGAACAAAAGATTTTGTATAGTAAAATCTCTGAAACAACACTTGTCCAGTGGCCATTGCAACCTGCAAAATTAAAATTATATTACAAATAATAATGATGGCAATCAATGATTAAGTGTACACTTTCATTAGGACAGATCTGAATATCTCAGGGAATATTATCAACACGTTGATTGCCATGTGACTGCCGGAATTTATCTTTAATTCTCGAATTGTATACTTTTGTGACCCCCAACTCTCATAGTTAATAATTAAGTAATTAGTACCTAAGTGGTTTTTTGCAGGAAAATACATAGACAATGCCATCGCAATTCATAGATAATGGAGAATTTATTTTTACTATAAGAATATTTAGGTAGCAATTTTACATTGAAAATTTAAAAAATGAACAACATTCATAAATCACAAGGGAAAATTATTATACATGTCATGTAAAAAGATGGAGAATTAAGCACAAATAATATACTACACCACACAAGTTGCCATCCACCATTACAAGAAGTAGGTACATCTATATAATATGTAGATACAATAACAAAAATGAACTAAAAGTTTCACCTGGGGTAGTTTGAGCAGCATGCCAGCAATCTGAATCCACTCACAGCCAACAATCCTTAGGTCAACTTCGGTCTCGAAATCTAATCCGTCGATCATCGACGGTGTGGACGTGAGCTTCTCCTTGGGCAACAGTACATTGCTTAGTGTCAATAGAACTTTGGTCGGTTGTTTTAATACATGGCGGTCATGTGTCACGTCTGAACATGTCATCGTCATAGTTGCTGTTTCCATTTTACACATCACCCACTGCGACTACAAAAATTGTGATTTCGATGTTAACGATCTATGCGGTGTCTAGCAAGCAAAGTAAACAAACGTTAATAATATCAACACGAATCACGTCTGGTCGTAGCCTATGGCCAGCAGATAGCTATTATTGCGCACAGTTATACAGTACTTCATGATAAAATCATTAATCTATTGGTTACCTATTTTATTATCATGGTTTTGTGTACACAACAAGCAAACGGTAGCGGGCTGGTCGATCTACAACAATTTAATCAATAAAAATATTATTAAATTACAAACACTATTCAGGTAATAACGTAACAAGTCGTTAAGTATATTTTAACTCATGGTTTAAAGTCGTACATTGTTGTACAGGTATTAGGTACTATCAACTATCTAGGTTAATAATAAATAATAATAATATTATGTGCATTTATCTGATACCGTGTTATCAATTTCTGGTCAGGGTTTCCCAAACCAAAAATGTCATAGTAAAATAGTGTCATTATCTTTTGTAGTTTTGTACCACAAATTATTCTGCATAAGATGCTGCCCGTAGGCCTTATAAAGAAATCTATATCCTCTCGTCCATAACATGTCTGTACTACCCATGAAGAATAAAGATATCTATATTCTTCACGGTGCTACCATAGAACTACTGAATAGTCACCTGGCCTCTATTTATGAGAAGCCTCATTTTGATTTATTATATTTATTAGACCAATGTTGTCAAACAACACTTTTATGTGGATTAAAATAATGATAAAAAATAAAAAAAAACCTTAAAGTGATGACTTAAAAATGAAAAAATGAACAATAATAAGTATTGGCATTGGCAGGGAAGATTGATATAATTAACAACATTGTATCTATGATTAATTCGCCTTGAGGTTTGGTATTATTGGGATTATCGCATAGAGATATAGAGTACACGTGTTCTGCTGAGCGTAAAATTTGCTATGTTACACACTTGTAAGGGAGAGACAACACATGCAGGTATCACGTCCTCTTAAGTCCAGGATAAAAAAGTCCGAGGTAAGGAAGTCTGGTAGGTTTCATATATACCGTGTGTCCCAAAAATCAGGGGCCACTTTACCACTCATTACCATGTAAATATTTTTCAATTATGTTTGCGGGACATTAAACTAGACTAATGGATCGTAAATTTCTATGACTTACAATGTTTTTAACTCATGTATCTTGCGCATGCGCAATAAAACTTACATTTTTTTAAATGGCAACCCGTAATTTTAATATCATATTCGGGTTCATCGATTTTTTTCAAGCCATTTTGATGCATCAACTTGTGTCCTAAACCCAAAATTGACTAAACTAGAGCTAAGTAGAATTTTAAAAATTTAAAAATTCAATTTAATTAATTTTTTTTTCTAACTGTACGTACTTATTTTTTTCTTAGCACCGTGAAACAAACAATCAAAATTATTATTATTAAACTAATTAACTATTTACGAATTATTATCTTATTTTATTACTACGCATTATGAAATAACATAGTTTAAACATGTATTTTCAAGAAACAAAATTTCTATTTTATTTTTTTTTAACATTACTATACATTTTATTTACAATTTAATTTACAAAAATTACAAACATAAACTATTCAATAAACTGTTCGAAAGTCCCTCCGTCGTGTAAAATGCATGCCTCAAATCGACGTAAACATTCACGATTAGTTGCTACCAGTATTTGGTTTTCGTTTAGGAGGTAGCATGCGTGTGTAATTTTATTCTTTAAATCTTGTATGTTGATTGGAGGATCAGCATACACAACATTTTTCAAGTGTCCCCACAAAAAAAAATCTAATGGTGTTAGATCTGGTGACCTTGGGGGCCACTCTACTGGTCCGTGTGTTGCAATAAATTTTTCGCCAAATCTTACTCTCAAAAATTCTTGGACAATTCGGGCATTATGAGCAAGTGCCCCGTCCTGCTGATAATAAATGTTTCTACGTACATCTAATGGTAAATCATCAAGGAGTAATTGCAAGTCATCATGCAAAAAATCTAAGGATCTTCTTCCCGTTAAAGTTCCGTCATAAAAATGGGGCCCAAGTAACTTACCACCAATCAAACCAACCCATACATTTGTACCCCAACATGTTTGGAAGTTTGTAGGAACAGTCCAGTGAGGATTTTCATTCGACCAATAACGATTATTTTGCTTATTTAATATTCCATTATTAGTAAATTTACTTTCATCAGTCCACAAAATATGATTAATTAATAATGGATCATCCTCAGACATCACCATAAACCAAGAAATAAAATTTAATCTTTTTTCTGGGTCTGTTATGCGTAAATGTTGGACTAAGTCTGGTTTGTAAGGGTGTAGTTTATTTTTTTTTTAAATCTTATGAACTAAAGTTTTAGGTATGCCAACTTCATGTCCGACGTGTCTAACAGATGAACGTGGGTTAAGATGTACATACGCTAAAACTTGATTTTCAATAACTTCATTAACATGTTGATTTACGCGTGGTTGTTGTTGAACAACATTTGTTCTATTAAATGAACCAGTTTCAATCAATGACTTTTCATGTTTTTGAACGTAAGTACGATTGGGGTGATACCGATCTGGATATTGCTGAGCGTACATTCTTGTTGCTTCTCGTGCGTTTCTGTTACATTTTCCGTAGATCAATAGTAACTGTACTCTTTTACTATTATTCATGATTAATATTTTATTCTAACAAAATTCAAACTATAACTTTCTATTACCTAAAGGTATTGACAATAGCGAACATAAAACGTCGAACTACTAAGACCGCAATGACACATGACTCTGATAATGAGTTCCATAATACCTAATATAAAAATAGCTAATGACATTTTAATAGGTGCCTATAGGTAGAAAACAAAACTAGAAACACCAATGCACATTATTATTTTAATAGATACTTAATTATAATTCTGATGGAAACAAAAATACACTTATTTTTCTTTTTTTTTTGGTTTCGGCCAATTGAGACCATAATATGCAATTTCATAATGGGTAATAATAAAATAAGATAATAATTCATAAATAGTAAATAGTTAATTAGTTTAATAATAAAAATTTTGATTGTTTGTTTCACGGTACTTAGAAGAAAAAATAAGAAGGTACAGTTAGAAAAAAAAATTAATTAAATTAAATTTTTAAATTTTTAAAATTCTACTTAGCTCTAGTTTAGCCAATTTTGGGTTTAGGACACAAGTTGATGCATCAAAATGGCTTGAAAAAATCGATGAACCCGAATATGATATTAAAACTACGGGTTGCCATTTAAAAAAATGTAAGTTTTATTGCGCATGCGCAAGATACATGAGTTAAAAACATTGTAAGTCATAGAAATTTACGATCCATTAGTCTAGTTTAATGTCCCGCAAACATAATTGAAAAATATTTACATGGTAATGAGTGGTAAAGTGGCCCCTGATTTTTGGGACACACGGTACCTATATATATATATATGAAACAATATTTAAAGTAATACATTTAAAAAAAAATTCAATGATCATAATTAGGTACTTGGTATCATTACTATCATTTATATTACTAGTAATATATTATATAGGTATTTTACTATATAAAATTAAGTCGCTTTCTTTTGTTTGGGATGAACTCCCAAACTACTTATCCAATCGTCGTGCAGTTTTTTTTAAATTAAAGAGGACATCACAGAGAAGATTGATAAAGTATTTATACATTTATATATAATTTTTTTTATTGGTACCATAAAGTTAATGATTAATTAGTTATTATAATTGAAATATATTTGTAAATTGTATACCTATATATTGTACATTTTGTGCGGCAGGTTTTGTGCTCTCGCATTGTCTGGCGACGATTTTGATTGTTATTTATTCATTGTTGATTGTTGGTCTGTTCAATCAGTTGAAGGCTTAGGCTTAATTGATTGTACATTTGATTGAAGGTTATTAGTGTTATTACTAACTTACCATTCTCATTTTCGAAAATGCCTAAAATCTTAGCCCTAGACGAAAGTAAAGCTACCTTTAACATACAGGGTCAGGTTTAACACGTTGCCGGGCTTTTTTTTTCTATATCGTAAGCGATATAATTTATTTTTCGACATTATAAAGAATCCGCGGTGGCGACGATAAATTTATATGGTTACTTGGCCACAGAGATGTGACTAAAAGTGGTCTAAAATAAAAATAATTATTTAACATCCAGAAAATCAACATTCAATTAATAGGTATCTGAGAAATCTTGCTATAAGCATTGCCTAGTCAGCAAGTATTATAACCTATAATAATAATTTCTCAGTTGAATTAAGTATTCTATCACAACTAAAAAAATTCTGGAAATATGTATGTAGGTATATTAATAATAATAATTTAACTAATTTATTTAACCTATATATTTTGCAAATATTTTACCGTGAAACTTTTATCCTTAAAACGAGTGGCATAATCACTGTGAAGGAGGGATTGAAATGTAGGGAAAAATACATAAATAGGTAGGTGTAGAAAAAAGCACTAACACACCACAGATATTAAAATAATATACTCTATTTCGTAAAAATTAATTTTATAAAAAAAAAGTAATAATTTGAAGTATAAAATATTATTTATAAATATAAATACAATAGGCAATAATTTATAATTTATAATAATTAAAAATAATTAAATTATTTTGTTGGCTTTCATCAGTACATAAGTTAAGTGGAACCGCCGGGCGGCGTTAGTATTAGCACCTAATAATTAATAAGTCAAATCACAGTTACAGTCAGAGTCTACAGATCCAAGCTTTTAATTAAATTATTAAATTGTCTGTAAGTAGTTACCCACAACTAGTTACTACTTACTACTATACATATTACTAACCAGTAACCACTAGGGCAGATGACTTGTAGCATTTGCATATTTGTTTGGCACGACCACAAAAATAGCTGAGTAAGGAACAAATACGTTTCATGCTGGAACAAAACTAGTTTTGACATTTTATTTTGGATATAAAATATAAACGCATATTTCGAGTTTTTTGGTTTTAATGCATATTTCTTCGATTCTACACGTTAAGATGCATATTTTCAATACCTACCTAATTTATCATTTTGTCAATATTTTTACTGTCGAAGTTTTTATTTAATTTAAATATTTAATATACAATCTAAATAATGTTGAATTTAAAATTATTTAAAATTTTGATCATATTAATATGGTTGTTGTCTGTTCCCACACCCATGTTTTTCCTCGAGACACTTCTCGAGGATTGCTGATTAGATTTACAAATTTTCCGGTTATTAATTTTATTTATGTACAGATATTGTTCACTGCATAAGATATTAGGTATAAATAGACAATAAGGCCATAAGGGCCACGGAGATGTCGGTAGCAGATACCACAATTTAAATAAAATATATTCGTACAAATAATCTTATTTTTTAATGCATAATTTGAACATTTTAGTGAATAATTGGTGATTTTTTTAGAGCTACAACTCTACAAGTACTACATTATTCTAAGACCGTGAGACTAACCTACAAAATAACCTCATATATTTTACGCGTTTCGTTGATACAGTGTTGTTTGGTATTTAATTAAATCTTGAGTTTTTAAAAGTTTTTTAAAAAAAACCAAAAATGTGTCGTTTACTTTTCTTTCCTGTTAGGAGTTATCTTACGAAGGTACGAGAGGTTTTAACATAAAAACATTAACTTAAACATTATTTAGTGGCCCATGATTGGTCCATTACATTTTATTGAACCGTTAAATAATTACATTTGTATGCAACCCGGCATAAGGGGCTACCTCTTTTTTTTGTTTGCAATATAAAACAATAATAATAATTGTTGAATTTCGAGGGGCAGTTTTTTTAAAATTCATAGATTCCCACTATCTTTTTTGAATACTCCTACCCATAGACTCATACATCTTTTATATGTCTGCGCCACTACTGGGTCATCGTTCAGTGATGTTGGCGGCACTGTGAAACGACGCTTCCAACATTTACAGTTCCAAGAGTGTAGTTGTGCACAACGCCACAATTCTCTAGCTTGCTCCATGAGCCATGACTCACCCTTCCCCGGCAACCGGCCTGAACCCGTCCCGCCTGTCTGTGTAACGACCGTCGACCAGCGAATACCGTCCGCCATTTTCACGGTCGCCACATTATCCGCGCGGTCACCGATCCTCTATTTTCGTTCTACGGTTTTTTTAATCTGTACGGTTTCCTCACGCATTATTTTTGTCATGAGATAAACACCATCGCTTGATATTTTGCGCGTATCGGAGTGGATTTTAGTGCGTGGTAAGGACCAGTTTTAGCGAACGCGGTACATTCACGATGAGCTACAGCAGACCGCCACCTCGGATTGAGGGTATGGTATCCCTGAAAGTTGACAACCTCACCTACAGGACCACTCCTGAAGACCTGAGGAGAGTGTTCGAGAGATGTGGAGAAGTTGGAGACATCTACATACCTCGTGATCGGTTTACACGAGAGAGCAGAGGGTTCGCTTTTGTCAGGTACATATGGCACTTGTTATACTTAAATAGTGTAGTGTTTAATACTATCAGGAAAGTGCGCTTGGCTACATCTGATCGATTGTGCAAAAATGATTATAAAAACAAGCTTGAGCTCGATACAGATTAATATTCACCACCACGGGTAGAGCATCCTTGCTTGTCAGGTTGATGTTCCCTTTGGTGGTAATATAATTATACGCTGTGATCCGTAACTTTGATCTTATCTGATTTGCATAATCTCGTCTTAAGTCTTGTTCTACAGTTAACAACAAATAATTTACTAGTAAATTGTCATATTTTTTTCCTTCAGATTTTATGACAAACGTGATGCAGAAGATGCGTTAGATGCAATGGATGGTCGCATGCTGGATGGTAGAGAATTACGTGTTCAGATGGCTCGCTATGGACGTCCTACATCACCGTATAGAAGACGACGCAGGAGGTATAATATTCTAATAATTTTAAATAAATTGTTTAATTTTACAGATTCTTCAAAATTAAATGTGCAGCAAACCAAAACATCTATGCTACATTAATTCAACTACATAACAACCCTTTTATCATTGTTTGGCATAAAAAAATTCAACTTTTAAATAATGTAAAAAAACTATAGTTCTGTTGATTTTTAAAATTTACTAAACATCCATTGAATTAATAAATATAAAATTCTATTTTACATATTAAGAAGTACATTTTCCATTAACAGAAATAATATTTTTATGTCAAGCAACGTTATGGAAAGATGGTAAAAAATATTATCTAGGTATTTTTTATTCAAGACATTAATTTATATTGTTATATTTTCTATTATATACTTTTTTTTATTGAATTTAATATCCCATGATTTTGTTTGTTAACACTGTTTTTAAGTATTCATTATCTCAATGAATTACCTAGTTTTACTTAATATTTTACTTTAACTTAATATTATAAAAAATTACCTTGTTTTGTTAAAAGACTGAGCATTGTTGAAAACCCATTGATAGCAGCGACACTATTTTCAGGTGTGGGGTGTAATTGGGGAGTGGCGGCTGAGTGCTGTGGCTGAGGCTGAGGCTGAGCTAAGGTGTAATAATCGTGCTGACCGCAGTAGAAGGCGAGGGCGTTGTTCCTGCCAATAGCAGATGCATGCTGAGTGCTGACTAGCTGCTGATCAGCCGAGTGCCAGTTGCAGATTTCAGTTTGCTGAATTAAAAAAATAAATAATACTAAACAAAGCAATCCTGAGTCGTCCTGGCAACTCTGTTTAGGGTTAGGAAATAGCTAATTTTTCATTTTTTCAATCCCCACATTTTTTTCTTTTTATTGCGCTTGAATAGTTTAATCCTTATTAATATTAAATGAAAAATAAATTAAACCCCAACCTGATGGAATTTAATGTGTTTTAAACATAAACATTGTTGTATGTCACTTGATTTTATTTGAAATTATTATACAGTCGATTATATGTTAATGCTATTGATTTAGGTCTCGTTCGCCTCGACGTCGTTCATACTCAAGGTCCAGATCTCGTGGCCGTCGTTCACGTTCTTATTCTAGATCACGTTCACGTTCACGTTCTGGTAGTAAAAGTTCAAGAGGACATTCAAAGTCAGCCAGTCGTTCAAGATCATAGGTAATAACTCATAATTATTTATTTATTTTCATCATTTTGTTATATTTGTTATTACAATTATTGTACTGATATAACATTTTGTCAAATCCTGCTAAATAAGTTTTACTATTTTAGTTGTGCTACATTGTATTTTTTCTAATGTTTTTTAAAATTGTCCAAATAATTTAGTCATTATATTAGAAAATTTAAATTTTTTACAGGTGTGAACTTTTCAAACAATTAAATGGAGAAAACAACAGCCACATCAATAATTTGTTTACACTATCATTATGATGAACAATATTTCATGCCATTTATAAACCTCTGAAATATTAAAGTTCTTTAATAAATAAACAATCATCATTTTGTAGCCTAAATCTGAGTTTTTTAAAATAAATATTACAATATTTTAGTTTTTGAAATATAATTTAAACATTAAAGCATCATCCATACAATTATTAATGTACCTTATAATTATATTGTAGCTATGATTAGGGGCTAGAGTACTAAGTATAATATCTAATTAGCTTACTGTAATAATAATAGTTATCAAGTATACATTTTATCCCAGGTAAAATGTATACAGTTTTAAGTATACTCTTTTTCTTGATCAACTAGTTTTTGCTGTATAATGTAAGAGTTAAGAATTAAAACCTTTATTTTATTATGACTTACTGCATCAATTGTTATGAATTGATAACCATATTTTTGGTCCATTCCAAGTGATGAATATTCTTTACAATTTTGAGTATCCTTGAAATCTTAAATAAATATTGGAACTTAACATACATTTTAGATAGTATTTTTATTAAAGTAACATTTATATATTCTCGGTAATTCAATTAATAAAATATATCCTTATGAAATAATCTAAATGAATGGCTAAAACTTTTTTTTTAAAAAAAGATTACATTGTACTTTGTATTCTCTGAGTTAGACAAAAACTGGTAAATACTTGGTTTGATCAAAAATTATACATCATACTTTTAATAATATGTGTTTAAATCCTGTCATGATTTTATGTTCAATTTTAATATGTTAGGCTATATTTATAATTTAGAGTAAAATAGTATAACTGAATCCTATTTATGTATTTATAAATATGTTCATGGTTTCATGGACAAATTGCTATTATTAAAGCTTAATTTTTTACAACCGAACACTGTGTATTTTAATTCTGATGTGATTGCAATATTTTTAATTGACAATTCTATATGATTTCTTCCTTATATCTATTAATGAGTGTTATTGACTTAATAATTGATATATTGTACTACGTATTGTATATTAAATAATGTTATCAGCCAAACCAGAAGTTAGGACAAATTAGTTTTTTCTAATAACAAATAAAAGTTGACACTTAAGGACAAACTAATATAGGTTGGGCTAGTAGTATACAATAAATAAAGTACATATTATAACAAATGATAAACCCCTTATGAAAATCAAAAATAAATAATATTGAGAGGACGTCGCGCAATTGTACAACAGAAAAAATTTTTTGGCGAGGGTCTACTATACTCCTGTATTTATAGTAGACACCAAAATTACACAACGCGTAGAAATGAACTATTTGTCGTAGCTTTTTAATTTTTTTAATAGCACTAACCAATAGCTTTTAATAATTAAATGGAAAAAACCTAATATTCTTAAACTGATAACTTCAGTTATCCAATTAATACGCAGGTACAATATTACTAACCTCTAGTATGAAATTATATATGTTACACAGTATTTAATGAGGTCCGTGCAAAAACGAGTCATCGTATTTCTAAAAACTGTCCAAGACACAAAAAACTCCTTGGCTATATAGTTTTTCAACAGGAAAAAAACCAGCCAGCTGCCAGTTACATAACCTGTTAATACCTACATTATTACAGTTATTATATTCCCTAAATGGTTGGTCGGATTTATCTCGTTCTTGTACCTACAGATAAACTCGTAATTTTTTGTGCCTTATCAAATTCAATTAAAACCCAATTTTTACGAAAAATAGAGCTGTCTGGTTCTTGCACGGATCCCTTCATTTCTGCTATTGCTTTAATTATTTTTATACCTAATATTAGTTGATAAACTGTCTTTTCCCTGGGGCAGAACCTCCTTTCATATAAGATATTATATTAAAACTTCTTTTGGTGTGGTTTTTAAAATCAAATACTTCGAGAAAGTATTAACACTTATTCTTATATATATCATGAAACTTGTGCCATAATAAATAACATTAAGACAAATCAACCCTAATAAATGATTTAGTATTTACTTATCACGAAAAAAATATTAACATTGATTTTACAACAACAAAGTATAAATATAAATATTAATTATCGTTATATTTAGGGTTTGTATTAAGTAGTATTCAATATTTATAAATCATTGTAAGTATAAAATGTATAAAATCATAAATATTATTTTTTTTTGAATAGGTACCTATAGGAAAAACACATCAAGTGCATTTTACTTAAGAATCCCAAATATTAGTTTTATATCAATTATCAAGTTATCAAATTAAAGCTATCATTACAGATAGGTAGTATATTAACAAATTCAACTTAAGTATTATTACTTATTTAATATAATGTTACCACGACTAAAAAAAAATCCAGAGTTCAAAAATTAATATAAATGTAAAATTTTGTATGCAGTCTCAATCAGGGCCCCAGGGGTGTACCCAAGAATTGTTCTAAGGAGGAGTCCCATTTTTTTTAACTCGTAAAAAGTATAAAACAATTTATTTCATTAAAAAAACAACAAACATTTTGATTCATAAATTCTTTAATTTATAAAAGAAATAAGTACTTACAATTAAAATTAAACAATTCGTAAATAATACATTTAATATAATTTTTATAATTTTTAATAGTTTAAAATGCCAGTCTTCTATTTTTTTTTAATAAGCTGTTCAATAACTTTTTCAGAAGTTAAAAGTTCTTCTCGATGGATGCTTAACATAATAACATGGCTAAACTATTGGGTCTATTTTCACCCATACTACTCTTCTTAGTTAAGTTTTGAGTCTTCTTAAAGGTGAAAAACTTCTTTCAGAAGTACATGACGTCATCGCAGAAAAATACCGACATAAACATTTTTAATAACTTGTATACATTTGGAAATAAGTCTTCATCACAACATTCTAAAATTTCAACAGTTTTTTTTTGGTCTTTCTTGTTTTTCCGCATTTTAAGTTACATTATAACTATATCAGAGTCATTTGAATCATCTGATTCTTTATAATAATGTATTCATTCTAAAATGGCATTCCTATTTTTATCCAAATCATTGTCAAATAAAGATTGAAATTCTTTTAAGATTGATCTGTGTTCTATATACCAGTGTTGGGTAAGTTACTTTTTAAAAGTAACTAAGTTACGTTACAAGTTACAAAATAAAATAGGTAACTATATTACTTGTTAGTTACTCACGTACAAAAGTAATGCGTGACGTTACATTTTTACTCAAAAGTAACTAGTTACAATGACGTTACTCTTATGTTAAATGAGACATGAGTGTCAATATAGGTAATTATGAATTGTTGAAAAAGCTCCGTACCGTAAACAACCTACCGTACCAACCTTACCCCTACCGGCTTCCACAGTTCATAACCCCTACAACAGCTAATGGCCTTAGTCATCGAGCTTAATTTCAATAAAAAAAAAAATTATACTATGAGATTTAAATAACACAATGTTATCTTGATAAATAAGATTCTAAAGAAAAACATCAATATTATCATGATTTATTTAAAGATTTTTTTTTGAGGTAATACTACAGGAAATATCACCTAAATAAAAGTCATAACCACGATTAAACATCTTTAATCGTGTTAACACTATATTATGCGTATGCCCTATGGTGGGAGTCATAGATTTTGAAGGTAAAGAAAAAAATATCAGCTATGCTGCTGTTGTTATCTAAAGATTACGTTATTGTTATTATTAGGCACGATTTAAGATTTACTGGTTGCCCATCAGGCATCAGTATATGATAAGGTGAGTACCAAATTGAGTTCTTCATGGTGCTGGAAATTATAGCAAGTGCTCCCTGTGAGAGAAAAGTTAACTACCTTGTCGCTGCGGGCTGCCTGCTGAATTTAAAATTTTTTCTATTTTAAATGTTGTTATTCTTTTTACTAATTTAATTTTACATATTTTTTACAATTTTTTTATATTATTTTCCAAACATTTTATTGAAGTCTGCTTTCAAGCTGTACAAGTATAACAGTATTTTAATATTAAAATGTAAATTATATAGATTGTATTATTTAACTATAATAATCAAGCTTAGAATACAACCAATATATTTATTTATGAATTAAATAATTTGTAGCACATCCTATTTTAATTGCAAGCAAATACTTGATACCATCTGGACGTGACTGACTTGCTACTTGCTAGACACTGAAACACATCTTTCAGATTAACGATTCATGACTTTCATAAAAGCACACGACTGGACCGTATAAACTATCAAGTCTGTTCAATCACCGATTTCCACGGACGTGAGAGGTGTCCAGAGTTCCAGACATCGGTATTCACCATCAGCGAATAGCACAGAGCCCTTAAGTAATGACGGAGCGAGAAACTAAAAGGCGAATGCAAGCCCATATTGTCGGCTATCGGAGGAAAAGGTTGCAAACGTTTGAAATACGGACAATCTGTTTGCTAAACAAAGCTGCAAACATTTGCAAACATTGCAAACGCCATGATCCAGCGCGTTTGACCTGTTTAGTTCTTTAGTAACCAGAACTTTGAATATATAGGTACACAAATAAATACAATAATAACAGTTGGTTCAATTTTTTAATGCTTACATTATAAAAGGGTCGTTGGACATCTTGGTGACATTTAGGGGGTCACGAACTCAAAAAGGTTGAGAACCGCTGATGTAGATTATAAATACAGGATAATACTGAATTGTATAATGTACATTCAATGACTTTACTCTCTAGGCATTTAATGTACAGCAGAGCGTTACCCACTTACCCGCTTTTTTATTTATGTTTTTGATTGTCTAATTTTTTAGTTTATAAATTAAAAGTGACTGTAATTTCCAGCTTGTATTGTTATAAATAATAATTAAATGCTATATTCCACAATACAATTTTAAATTAAATATTATTTTTTTGCTTCAAAAATACATTTAGCAATTATACCCCACAGACCTCTTCCCTTTAAATTTTTCGCATCCTTATTAAATTTCATTCAGACATTTTCAAGTGCAATTTTTTCCCCAAAAAAATATATTCAACCTACTTTATTAGTAATGTCTAATAGTAAAACAAACTACTTTAATTGTAACAATTTCATAAAATATATTCAGTAATGTATATAGGCTGACGGACTGTCTTAACTAAAAATCGTTTTTCATACAGGTACAATAATTTAATGATTTAATATCATTAAATTCAAATTGAATACAATATCATCGACTAGGTATACTACCTACCTTTTTTCTTCTTTTATTTTTATGTAGGAATTCAATAATTTTTGGTTTATAATTTAAAATTTACTGAAGTCTCCACTTCTCCAGATTGATGCTCAATACAATTTTAAATTTCATATCATTTTTGTTTATTACAATATATTTACCTGAGGGTGCCCTAAGCCTTAAGACCTCTTTCTATTATTTTATGGTAATAAGTATTTAATAAATTCATATCAATTCATTGGACACCGCAATGTTCCCTTTCCAATTTTTTCATCATTTTTATTTTAACTCTAGTTAATTTTTTCACATACAATTTGTATTCTTTGACCAGCTAACCTATAGGTCACCCTATAGTGTGATCTCTGAATGATAATTTATAATGAAGTAATTATTGTTGGTAATTTTTTTTTAGTTTAAGAACCAGGACTGCAGTCTTCAACATATGTTATTAGTCTGAACATTATTTTATTTTTTTAAATTTAAAATATCACTTAAAGTAATCACACAGGTAAAAAATTGACATTCAATTAATTCATTTGAACAACCTATCAACATATGTTGATAAATTTGGCACTCAGTTCGAATTTAGATAAATATATAATAGAATAGCTGAATTACCCGGCGTTGCCCGGAAACAAATTGGTGACAAATAAGATAACGCCATGTATTACCATTTACCGTCTTAAATTCATAATCATCGATAAGGCATAAGGTTAGGATACTAAAATTAAAAAAT